TGTTGTTTTTTGAGCAATATTTTTACACATTTGAGTTAGTCTGGCAAAATTCTAAAAGCTAACTCTCAGTGACTTCACCAAGCTTTAGGAAAGAACAGTTGGAAGTAGGTGCCCTTGTATCTGACTTCCTGTATAACATACAGTGTGTGACTGATTCCCTCTTTGCTGAAACAGTCTTTTGATGTGGGCAGCGGTCATACTTTGTTTCTTTAAGCTGTAAATGAAATTTAAGTGTGAAAATGTAGGGTAAAAGCAACTTGGATGTACAGTTGTTCACTGCACTGTGATCAGGGTTGCAAGTGAGTCATCTGTGTTGTACGTAACACCTATCCTAGTCACTACTTAGGTCATACTTTGAATACAGTTGTAAAACTGTTTTGTATTTCGTTAGAATTCAAGACTGAAATATTTTTGTTGACTAAACACTGTGGGGCCATTGCAATTCAGAAATTTTACAGCAGTTTATGCTAATATCCTTTCTTGATTTTAAAACGATTAATAATTCCTTTGTATCCTGTAGAACTTGAATACTTGTGTGGGAAATGAAAAACCTGTGCCTCAAAAAAACTTCAAAAATGGAAAGGAAGAATTCCCTACTTCAGAAATGGAGGAGAATGCAGGTGAAAATGTTACTCAGCCAAAGTCTCCTGCGAAAAAAGATTACCTTCTTGAGAAAGCCAGAGATGAACTGGCAGAAGAGGTTAGGATATAATTTTTGTTAGTTTTTAAGTAAACAATCACTAAGTTTGGAGAACAAATCACTAATTATAACAAAAACCGTCTCTTGTAATCCACATACATTGAAAGATACCTTTTTCTGCTAGATAATTATCAGTCATGGAGTTTTAGAGCGACTGATAAAGTACACACTGAGAGCATGGAGTTTGTGCACGTATCATACTTTAAAATCATGGTGAAGGAATAGTATGTTCAGTAGAATCATGGTATGATTACACTTAAGTCTGTGAAGTACACTGCATATATTTGGAAACAAAAAGAACTGTTGAATTCTTAAGTTATACAGGTTAAATATTTAACAGGGACTTGGAAATTTTAAGTAGGAATGTAAATATTTTTCCTTTTAGGTATACTATTTAATAATTGAGGAATTCCTTCACAAGGGTTACTGTAAAACGTGCCACTTCTTATTTTGGAAAGTAAATTGCATTTTTAACTGAAATGGTAGTTGTTTTTCATCTGCTAAAATTTTTTAAATGTATGAATATGTCTCTAGTCTTCAAGCTTATGCACTTCTTGGCTAATGTCTTAAATATATTCTATCTGAGCACACTTTCTTATTTGAAAGGTGGATTCATAGATGATTAGTGAACTGAGAATTGAATCTTATCTCAGTCCCTTACCCTCATTTTGTGTTTGTAGCATGCTGTGGTCATTGTGAACCTAAGTAGTAAATAACAGAAAAGTTAGGATATTCCAAATTCTCCACATGATTTGGAGAATGAGATTTATTTTTAACCATAACTGACAGAAATTAAGAGGTTATAATTTTGATTTCTTAGAATTTGCTGTTCTTTCACATCCTCCAGATTGCAAAGTCAGTGATGTCTGAGTCACCTCACTGTGGTGAAGAAAAAGGAATGACATTAGATGATCTCATTAGCTCACTGTCTTTTAACCCATTTATAACGAAGAATCAAATACCCCGAACTCCAGAAAATCTGCGTGAGTTTGAAACTCTGTTTTTATTATGCTCATTGATAAAAAATGTGGTTAGTTCATTGACTTGTAACGCAAGAAGAAAAAGATAATTATTTCAGTGATGTTGCATGTTTTTCTATTGGCTCACTCTAATACAACATAGTAGACCTAATAAGATGTGAATGCTTTGAATTTGATTTAAGAGGTTTTTTTTCTTACGTAGAATTCCCTTTGTGTTGGGGAAACATAAGCAATATAAAGCAGCTATATGTATTCCCTCTTGGATTGCTATATCACTGAGGGGACAGAAAAAAACCAGACTGATTGAAAGTACTAAAATTTGACCTTGATTTGTTTCATTTAGTTACCGAAATTAGAAGTTCGTGGAGAAAAGCTATTCAGACTGAGGGCTCATTAGACCCAGAGCTGTCCTCAGCTGAAGTGGTGGTGGAAGAATCTTCAGTGAATGCTACACCCGGTATGCAGGAGGAGGTGGACTCTGCCTTTGTGTGCCCTGAACCTGTGTCTCCTGTGTCTGACTTGGGTCCTCCTGTGTCAGAAAAGAAGTCTCAATTAATTTCTACAGAATCTGATTCTCAGGAGCACGTGAGTGTAAGTCATACATTTGAATCTTCAGATTCAAAAACGTCTGGAATTCCAGAAAATGAGAGAACTGAATCAGAGAAACCAGATTGTTCTGCTTTGAGTGGAAGTTCTGTAGAAGATCTAAGCCAGAATTTGCAAAATGTAGAGAAGAACACGAATATTCCAGATACTTGTTTGAAAAGTGGTAGTAGAACAAATACACTACCTTCCGACCACTGTTGCAGTTTTCTAATGGATAAGATGCTATGCTGGAATGTATCTGCATTAAATTCTGCCCTTCGTGAATGTCCTGACATGGGAATATTGGATGAGACACTTCCAGAATGTGATGGTATGGATCCCAGCATATCTGCAGACTCAGACTCCTTTTTTTTTACAGTGGACAGTGAAAATTTAATGGATGGGTCAGAAAATAATGAGGATATTAAAAAATTGGACCTAGATTTGCAGTCCCTGTCAAACTCACATGAAGTGCTAAAAAAGACTGCATCTAGGAGTGAAGAGGAGCTGCATCAAACACATAATGGAGACAAATCTCAAAGTTACAGAGCTAAACTAAATATGATATCAGAAGAAGGAGAGGAAAATGACGATGATCCTTCCATGGATGAAGGATTTACCAAGATGCCATTGCCAAACTCTCCTGATGAAAGCAAACATTCCCTGTCATCTTTGCTGGTATCCTATCAACAGATGGATGGTACATGAAGTCCCATTAGACTTACTACATAAATTGAAGGGTAAGTTTCTGTGTTCTTTATGCATCAATATTTTGTCCATTCAGTCACTGGATATACTTCCATGAATAACCTCTGAGTGGTTGGACTGTGCTATGGAAGTGGAGGGAAACAAATTATTTGTATGCTTGTTTCTCATGGAAGATGAGACCTGAAAAATAAAGGAAACATGCTTCCTCTAGTTCTAGAATTCTATCAAACATCTTCCAAGTACAATAAAAGATGTTCATCTGACTTCCTGCTGTAATCTAGCATGGTTTAAAAAAACAGAAAAGCCTCAAAGTGCATTAACTGCAATCTGCAGTTAGATTTTGAATAATCTGAACTTAGATTTTGAGAATTCACAAAGATAGTTTGAAGGTTTGTGTTTACTCTGAACAAATTTGGCTATTTAGAAATGTGTCATATGTCATTGAAACTTCTGTGAGTTCATTAAGGTGTTGTTAGAACTATCCTGCATTCCAGCCTGCCTATCCCCTTATCCCATTTCCAACAGAAGTGTCAACTGTTTAACCAGTATTGGAGTGTTTAGTTACATGTTCAATTAAATCATTGAAGTGCATTGATAAAAATTAACTAGTAATGGAGGACTTCCATGAAAACAGATGGTATGCAGGGATGTGATTAGGCAGGCCACCACCCACTTGGAATTGGGTCTGGCAAGGGATATCAGTGGTAAGTACGTCAGCAGGAAAAGAAAGATTAGGGAAAGTGTGGGGCCATTGTTGAAGCAGACAGGTGTCCTGCTGATGGAAGACACAATTAAGGTGGAATTAGTGAATGCCTTCTTTGCCTTAGTCTTTACTGCTGAGGCTGTCCTTCAGGAATCCCACACCTCAGAGGTAAGGGAGGAAGGCTGAAGAAAGGAGGACTTGACCCTGGTCATAGGGGGTTCAGTTAGAGGTCAGCTAGACAGACTTAATGCGGGATGCTCCTGTGGATGCTGAGGTAGATATCCCATGGGAAATATTGTTACTAAGCCGTTCTGCATTATCCCAGAGAAATGGAGAACAGGAGGTGCCTGATGACTGGATGAAAGCCAGCATTACATCCATCTTCCAAGAGGGCAACAAGGAGGAACTAGGAAACTACTGGCCAGTCAGCCTCACCATCATTCCTGGAAAGGTGGTGGAACAGATCATTCAGAAGAACATCACCAAGCATGTACAAGAAATGGTGATCAGAAATAGTCAGGATGGATTCACCAAGTAGTCAGGATGGCCATTGGGAGTGGACAAGTGGATATCGTACTTTACCATAGCCTTCTGACATGACATGGCAGGGTGGGTTGGCTAGCTGAGAGCAGTGGATATTGTTTGCTGTTAAAGAAACTTCCCAGTCTGACCATTCATGAGACTCTGGCAGTGACATTCCCAGAGACATCAGAGACTTTAACTGTTGGGAGTGAAGCCCCTTTACAGTGGGTGGCTCCAGTGAGCTGACGGGTGCCCTGCTTGACTCCTCACACAGCCCGCCCTCACATGCACTCAGACCAGTGTCCTCACAGGTCCCAGGTGTCCCATAGCAGTGTCTCAGATGTCTCAGTCCATAAAGCCATTTATTCACAGTGCAGTAATACAGAAACGGCTCAAGCTGGTCCCTCTGAGCAAGACCTCCAGCAAAGGAGCCCCAGATCTTTTACATCCTCAGTCTCCCCGCATGCAGGTCTTGCTCTTCATCCTGAGTTTCAGCTTCTGTCCCCACTCTGTTTCCATCCACCTAGATGGTGCCACCAATCTTCATCTCCTTTGTCATCCCAAAGGTAGGCAATTCCCAGCTCCCGATGTGTCTGTCACCATCCATTCACCTGGCTGCTGTCATCCATATTCATACTCCTTGTTATCCTGAAATTTGGCAGCTCACAGGCTCCCAACCAGAGCTCAGATCTCAGTCATCAGCTTTGGTGTCTATCAGATGGTATCAGCACTACCTTAATTTCAGCAAGGGTTTTGATAACATCCTCATCTTCCATAACATCCTCATAGGTAGGCTCAGGAAATGTGGATTAAAGGAATGGACAGTGAGGTGGATCACGAACTGGCTGAAGGCAGAGCTCAGAGGGTCATGATCAGTGCAGCAGAGTCCAGCAGGAGGCCTGCAGTCAGTGGTATTCCCAAAGGATCAGTACTAGGATCAACCTTATTTATCAGTGGCCTGGAGGAAGGGATCAAATGCACCCTCAGCAGGTTTGCTGGTGACTCCAAACTGGGGACAGTGGCTGATCCACCTGAAAGCTCTGCTGCCATTCAATGGGACCTTGATCAGCTGCAGGGTTGGGCAGAGAGAATCCTGGTGAGGCTCAACAAGGGCAAGTGCCAGGTCCTGCATCTGGGGAGGAACAGCCCCAAGTGCCAGCACAGGCTGGGGCTGACCTCCTACAGAGCAGCTCTGTGGAAAAGGACCTGGGACTCCTGGTGCATCACAAGCTGTCCATGAGCCACCAGTGGCCAGGAGGGCCAATGTCATCCTGGGGTGCACTGGCAAGAGTGTGGCCAGCAGGTCAGGGAGGTGATCCTCCCCCTCTACTCAGCCCTGGTGAGGCCATTCCTGGAGTGCTGTGTCCAGTTCTGGGTTCCTCAGCACAAGGGAGACAAGGAGCTACTGGAGAGGGTCCAGTGGAGAGCCACAAGGATGATCAGGGGTCTGGAGCTCCTCTCTCGTGAGGAGAGACTCTGGGAGCTGGGATTGTTTGGTCTGGAGAAGAGAAGACTGAGAGGGGATCTCACCAATACACAGAAATATCTCAAAGGTGGGTGTCAGGAGGATGGTGCCAGACTCTTTTCAGTGATGCCCAAAAAAGAGGCAAGGAGCCGTGGCCACAAACTAAAGCACAAGAAATTCCACCGTAAGTTGGGGCAGAAAGTATTTACACTGAGGGTGGCAGAGCACTGGAACAGCTGCCCGGAGAGGTTGTGAAGTCTCCTTCTCTGGAGACACTCAAAACCCAACTGGATGGATGCATTTCTGTGTCACCTGCTTTAGGTGACCCTGCCTTGGTGGGGGGGGGTTGGACTGGATGATCACCAGATGTCCTTTCCAATGCTACCTGTGCTGTGATTTAATGCAGCACTTGGAATTTAATATAAACTAGTCTCAAGAAGTAGTGTAATTTATTAGTGCAAAAAAGGTTTCATTTAGAACGGTAGCTATGTTGCTAGCAACTGATGAGAGCACTTACCAAATGGTACTTAGAGTACCATTTTATATATGCTTTATTAATACATGTGAAACAGCTTCAGTTTTTCTGTCTTAATAGTTGAATACTGTAGATTGCAAACTAGTATGTTTTCTCTTTCAGATAAGAATAGTTGAGTTGGAAGCTGGGCATGAAGGAACCTTCATCAGGATGGAATTTGTAAAGCAGCAGCATAACCAGAGCAGCATTTATGGTTCACTTGCATCTTCTCCAAGCATTATCTGCATTGGGAAGTTGCACTCCTTTTGGTCTGCAAGGCGAGTCTATTCCACTCCTTGTTTAGGAGTGTCACTTGCCTGCTCTGACACTGCCAGTTTCATATCATTCACTGTGGCTTTCTATATACAGCGCATCATTTATATACAGAGCTATAAGCATATTTTGAACAGCAGATGTTGAGTGAATGGCATAACCCTAGAAAATGGAAAAATTAGATGTCAAAGGAGAAATAGTGAAATCTGTTAATTTGCTCCTAATCCACATCTCATACCCCATCCTAACCCTTAACCCAAGAGATTGAAATTTTTCTTGGTGCTCTACATTCCATTGCATTCATCTCTCTTACTGGGACTTCTGGTCTATACTGCCATCAATTCTGCCTGTTCACAGAGGCTGTTCCCTTTTTCTAATCTTCACTGGAGTGCATATTTCTTTAGCTATATTACTGAATAAATGCTTCACACTAAAGTTACAAAAATTTATTGCTTGTGGTAGCGTTAATGCTATTGATATTAACAACTGACAATCTCAATATGTTGTGATGTAAAAGGTAATAGAGCCTGTGGTAATGGGAGAAAGTACAACTCTAGATTCCAAGAAGAAAACTTACTGTTGTAAAAATACTGACTCCTAACCTAATGTGTTTAGAGACATTGTTAAATAAAGCTGTTTTTCTGTTCTGGATTGTCTTCCTCCTTTCTTCCAAAACAGTTACCTTGGGTTTTAAGAAGAAGCTCCACCTGTATTTGACATCTTCCTTATAAAGAGAATGTGACAGGCTCTATGAAAAGGCATGTGGGTGGTTGAGGAAGCTGTAATATGTATAATGGCTGTGCACATTAGAAGATAAGAGGGAAGTGCTGCTTAATAGCCGAAGGTCTTTTCAAACCTAAGTTCTATGATCCTGTTGCCACCTTAGCTACTGGCTGCCGGGAACAGGCCCAGCTGTGTTCTGTCCACACGTGGACTCTAGAGCTTGGCACTGGTGACTTCACAAACATTGCCTGTAGACTAGCTACATATAAGGATGGGGATAATAAGATTGTGGCCTATCTTAAGAAAAGTCAAACTGCCTTTTGTGTTGTTACTGCGTTGACAGTTTGAGATTAAAAAATGGCATTTAAAAATTTTGATTTTCCTGTGAAGACCTTGCCTCACATTTTGAGTTACATATAAAAGCAGAATCTTTCCTCCTTGTAGTTAAATAAAACGTTGTTTGTATTCTAAGTAGTAGCTCTCCTGTCCACTAGTTTGTGTTAGACACTTAGGTCATTTTTGTTTAGGCTTACATTGGAAATCCATCATAATTAATTTGAAATTCTAGGTAAAATTCTTATTTAGAGCAGTAATTTAATGATTAGTAAGGAGAAGTTGAGAACAGCAGGGTATTATGAGCAGCCAGAAATACAACTCTGTCTGTATTTCTCTGACTACTTTAAACCTAGATATTTGCTGAAGATTAATACAGTATTCCTAATGTACAGTGCTAAATATCTTAAGATACCTATGAGAAGTTCTTGCCCATTAAGGCTGGAGAATTCTGTTCCTCATGAATTTCCTAATCAAAAGATTCCTTTGTGTGACTTCCTAAAAGTACGTAATTTGGGCTTATGAAGTTAGGTGCACTGTATTAAAATTAGCTGAAATACAATGCAAGGTACAGTACCTTGCTTTCCTTTCCAGAGGAGAGTATGCAGGAGGAGATAATTTTGTGCAGCACTGCAGAGCAGCCACTATTTCACACTTTAGAGTCACCTATTATTACTATATAAGCTCCAAAAGGATAGTTTTATGAACTTCTGTATTCCTTGGTCTCTTATTTTTTTAACTTTGGAATATTATACTTAGGTTTTCTTGCCAGAGCTTATATGCATTGCTCACAAAGGTTTGATGAAGTGGCTGAAATATTTTTCCTCCAAGTTCTATAGTATTTATTATATCATGAGCAATGTGATACACAGAGAGAGTTGGTCCTGTTCAGTCTTAAGAAGAATCAACTGATAGGGAGCTCATCAGTGTCTGTGTCTGAGGGTGTCAGTGGATGGATCAGGCTCTGCTTGGTGATGCTGAGCAATAGCACAAGAGTCAACAAACTGATGTGCAGTTAGTTCTATCTGAACATGGGGAACTTTTTTACTGTGCAGTACAGAGCACTGGGAAAGATTGCCCAGAGAGGCTGTGGGGGCCTCCGTCACTGGAAATACTCTAGACCCATCTAGATGTGATCCTGTGCAATGTGCTCTGTGATGACCCTGCCTCAGCTGGGAGGTTGGACCAGATGACCTGCTGTGGTGACTTCTGGCCTGACCCATTCTGTGATTGTATCAAGTGTTATGGTGTCTGGTAGTGGCATATCCAAAAATCAATTTGTAGCTGTGACAAAACATAAATTGCTCTTAAGTTATATACAGGATAACACATAACTTGGCAGTCTGTACTTTGTATGTTCTCTCTGTACTGAGCATACATAAGTCTCTTTTTATTGAAAAGTAAAGCTGAAAGAATGTTTGAAATGTCACTAATTCACTGGGCATTGAAAAATGAAAGTACAGTCTTGTGAATTAATTTCTGCAAGTAGTGGGAGAGAATCAGAAGGGTGAAAACTACAAAATTAGTGGGTTGAGCCCAATACCAGCCACTGTGAACAAAATCAACTCTAGCCCAGCCAAAACAGACTGGGGGAAGATAGGATGAATAGGGACTTAAAGTATGGGTACTTAGATAAATTTCAGACAGAGAGTCTTTTAGCAAGCCTGAATTACATTCATGGCTTGATAGTTCTGGTTCAGTCTTCTGTGTTGCATCATTTAGAAAAACTTTGGCAGAAATTACTCTATTGGTGATGGCAAAACACTGTAGGAGAGCTCTGTCTTACCCCGTGCAGTGCTTAAGTTCAGCTGGGTTAACCCAGTGGGGCACTGTTTGGAGGTAGCTCTTCTGTATGGGTGTGCTTTCAGACCATCCTCCCTGGAGATATGTAGCTCCACTTCAGTGTGTGTGGAACTGTTCAGCTGTGTCTGCTGATTGTGGATGGGCTTACACCTGCGGAATTCTGTGTGTAACTGGAAAAAAGCACAACTGCAGGGAGTTTGCCTACCTTTTTGTCTCTATTGTGGGCATTTTATCACTTCTAAATAAGATCTTAATTTGGATGGTGTTTTTCAGTGGCACAAAGACTAGTTTCTGATTAATTTATGTGTAGGCAGTCATCCCAAAGTGTGAATCTAATCCTTAGTTACACATAGTTTTTATGTTTCTGGCAGTCTGTCTGTTAAAGCTGTATACATTTTACTACTTTGCATGTAGAAATACAGTCAGAGAAAGGTGCAGGAAAGTTTCTCATATTTATTATAAAGTACTCCGGGAGCCAGGGACACAATCATTTCACTGGTGTTGGGGTATTATCAATTATTTAAATAGTTGATTTACGCACTTTTTTTTTTAAGGAGTTCAGTTAATGAGACAAATAGAAACAGTCATTGTTCCAAGAGGCTTTCAGACTAAAATCTAGTGAAGAATTGTATTGACCCATTTATTCATCCTGTTGAGATCCCTCTTGATGGCAACACACACAATAGGTGTATCAACCTCTTCTCCCAGTTTTGTATCATTTGCAAACTGCCTGAAGGTGTCATGTATACCATTATATATGTAATTTATAAAGATACATATAATAGCTTTTACCCCATTTCCCAGTCATTGGGATCACAGCTGGTGGTGGTGCTCTGACTGGACTTTGTGCCACTGATCACAACTCTTTGAGTCTAGCAGCTCAGAACATTATTTATTTTGCCTCAGGGTCCACTTACCTGGCCCATGTTTCTGTCAGTTTGTTGATGAGGTTCTTGTGGGTGACAGTGTCAAAAAGCTTATCAAACTCAAGATATGCAGTATCTACTGTTCTGTGCCTCATCCTACAGAAGATTGTACCAAGCCAGTCTTCTTGTTGAAGGTTTTCTCTTTGGCCTAAGCATGATTTCCCTTTCATGCTGACCGCTCCAAATGATCTCCTCCAGCTCACTTGACAGCCAGTATTGGGAACTGATTTTCCAGGATTATTTACTCAACCATCTTTACAAGGACTGAGGTTGAAATCTTTATTGCCTTTCTTGAAGACATGTGATGAATGATGTTTACTTTCTCCTAGACATAAGGAACCTCTCCTGGTTGTCACAACCTTTTAACGACAGAGAAAATGCCTCAAAATTGCATTACAATACTCCTGTATTTCTTGTGGGTACTCCATGGACCCAAGTGTACCATTTGTTTAAGTGCTGCCTAACCTCTTCCTCTTCCTTGACCCAGTCTTTTCCATTGATCTCAAGGACATGGGGTTGCTGAAATCTAGTCATACCAGTAAAGACCAGGGCTGAGACTCAGAGTCAGTGGTCACACATTGCTTTTCAATGTCGTTTGTGTAGTAAGGGAGCATGAACAGCCTGTTCTTGCAAATCAAAGCTGTTGATCTTGAAAAACGATAAAAGTATTGGTGTGAGCCAAGAAGGGTTTCTTGGGGGTAGACCAGCTGTGCTGGTTATCATTTTAGGCAGATTTTCTGCAGTAGGAGGAACAATCTGTATGTTAATACTGGTCAGGCAGGTAAGCTTTACTCATCACTTATTTCTAAGTCCTCTCCCTGCTGCTTAGAAGTTTAGATCTGGAAGCCTGTATTAGTCATCAGTTAATATTTCTTGCAATCATTGTTTTTCAGTTAGTGGGAAGTGCTAGTGGTTAGAAAATCGTGACTTTATCAAGGACTTAAAGTTTAATGCTCTGGCAGTAATTTTTTCACTTACTGCATAAATAGGAGGCCTAAATTAATATCTTTCTAAATTTTATTTCAAAATAGAAATTTTGAAAATATTTACTGAATATAAAAATCAAAATGTACCTAATTGTCATGCAAGTGGATTAAGAAAGGATGCTGAAGGCACTCCCTGTTCATCTGACAGTCCAGGTTACTGCATGTATGGTAAAGGGTCACTTAAAGGGGACTTACGAAAAGGATCCTTAATCCCTGTGAAATCGATGACCTTCT